AGAATTCTAACAGGTCAAAATTCTGACAAGTAAAATTTTGATAAGTCAAATCTTCAAATAATCAAATTTTTGCTAATTTAAATGCTAAATCGGAATAGTCAAAACCTTAAATGAGGAATGGTCTAAGAAAACCTGCCTTTGACACTTTTTGATTAATTTTAAGATTTTTAATTCAAATTAAAGTTTTGGTTCTTACTTATATAAATTACATTTTTTATCCTATATTAATTTAGTAAATTATCAAGATTTTTTAGATTAAAAGCAGAAAATTGCTTTAATCAAATTAAATTTGAATTGTGTAATATCTAAATTTGATATACAAAAAGTTTTCAATATACATATTTCAATATTTATTATATAATAATTATTCTAAAAATAAATTGAAAAGCCTGTCAACAAAGTGACAGAGTGATCATTATTGCGAGATCAGATGGCTTTTAGATCATGTGTTATGTTGTCTTTTATAAAATTTGTTAGATATAGGTATTTTCTAGTTAATATGTATGATGATTGCATATAATTGTTAAAATATAAATTACTAAGAATAGAGTGCAATTATATGGTTCTAAGTATATAATTAGTAATGTATTTAAGGGCTTTTAGTTAGTAGAGTTGATTATCTTTCTTTTCATTATTGCTTGCCTTGTAGTGAAGACTGGCTTTATCATCTCATCCTCCCACTTGTCTCTTAATAACTTGTAAACTAAGAGCAGTATATTGACATTTGTTTAGAAAGATTTGGTGGGTGCTGTTAGCAAAGAAGCTTATATTTAGTAATTAGACTTTAGTTGCCATAGGCAATGCACAAACTTCAGTTGCTTTATAGCTGCTGTATGCAGTGTTAGGACCTTATATTTAGTGGTTAGGCTCTGCGACTGTTATTAGCAGTGCAAGAACCTATGTCTTAGTTTTACTTTATTACTAGATAATACTATATAACTAATTCTCTTTATAGCTATATGACTACAATCTGGCCTACAATATATTTAAGATGTAATGAGTTATAGGATATGAGTGTTTGTTTAGAATAAAATATTCTTTGAAGATATAGATGTTTTAGTATAATGCTTGAAAATGATAGCGAATGGAATCTCTATATGTTTCTTCTTTGTGTAAATAAAGTCAGTTGATCGAGCAATAATAATAACAATTTATGTTATATGATCATTAATTGCATTTTTTTAAAAACTAAACTATCTGTCAAAGGCAGTTTTTTATACAATTTCTCCAAATAGTCAATTTAAAAGTTTTTGCATCATTCTTTATTAATAATATTTTTACAACATATTTATAGCTATTATCATTATTCCTGAAACACCTAATAAAATTAACCAAATGATTATTCTGCCGATTTAATAAGTTATTGATTTTGGTATAATCAGTATATAAAAGCTATCACTATTTTTATTACATGAATACTTGTTTACAAATAACATTTCTCATTATTAAATATATTTAGTTTGTATAAAAATTTATAGAAAACAGGTCTTGTCAACCAAAAAATCTTGACAAGAAATATAAAAGGACTAGATATAATTCTATAAATAAAACATATATATAAATACATGTAAAATACTTTTCTATGTATACAGTCAGACCTCGATATAATCACCAGTTTCGGAAACAAACATTTGGTGATTATAAACAAGTGTGATTATATAAAGGTCCAATTTTATATGTTTTATAATGTCTAGGACTAAAAAATAGTGTGACTATAACAAGGTTGTGACTATATCAAGAGTGACTATAACGAGGTCTGACTGTATATCTAAGTTGATGTATAATCATCATCAGCAAAATATATAAATATAATATTATATAAGATATTATGGTCTGAAATATTGCATAATAATTATGATTGACACGCAATATTGCGCAATTATCAATTACGAAATATTGCGCAATAATATTACAAAATATTACACAATATTCGATTTGAAATATTTTGAAATAATTCGCAACTATGCGAAATAATTCACCACTATGCAGATTAATTTGCAACTATGCGAAATAATTTGCCACTATATGAATTAATTCACAACTATACGAAATAATTCACTACTAAACAAATTAATTTACAACTATGCGAAATAATTCATCACTATGCAAATCAATTTGACAAATTCAAAATAATTTTCAATAATAATTAAAGAGTGTTGCTATTTCCACCCCCCATTTTTGCTAATGCCACCCCCAAAATTTAAAGAAGTGCTCCGGAAGAGGTATTGCTATTAAGAATATCCACCTTTTGGTCTTAATAAAAGTTGTTCATCAGGCCATTCTGGTTCTAATAGTAGTAAAATCATTAAAATCGGACTAGTAGTTTTTTTTAAAAAGTGAATAAAAGTTAGATAACTTTGGATATAAATATCTTAGAAACTACTAGTCCGAGTATAATAATTTTACTACTATTAGAACCAGAAAGGCCTGATAAACAACTTTTATTAAGATCAAAAGGTGGGTTTACTTAATAAAAATATCTATTCCAGAGTACTTTTTGATATCTGGGGGGTGGCATTAACAAAAATAGGGGGTGGAAATAGCAACACTCTAATTAAAATATTTAAAATAAATTTCAAAACCTTTCACAATATTTCAAAACATTTTACAATATTTTAAAATATTTTGAAACTTTTTAAAATAAACTATAGATTTGTATAATATTTCAAAAATATTTTATACAATATACTAATATAATACTATATATTTATATTATTTATTTACAAATTTCAAAATATAAAAATATATATTATTATATTAAAATTTATTATAAAAAACTATAATCCAAACAAAAATATTACAAAAACTGCTCTAAACCTAATGAAGCAGAAGAAATATTACAAAGCAATTTACTTAAACTACCAACAAATCATAAAAAATACCTTTAGCATTTTGGTAGAGAATTGTTTTAAAATATCACAAGACAATTTATCAACAAAACATTGAAGGCCCAGAAAAAATACTAAATAATAAGACACCACACAAGCTATAGAACTGCTATACAAGTCGTAAAAACACTATAAAGACACTACACAATTGCTATAGAAATACTACAAGCCATAGAGACACCATAATCGCCATAGAGATATCACACAATTACCGAAGCGACATCACACAAGCTGTAAAGACACCATAATCGCTGAAGAGACACCACATAATCACCGAAAAGACACTACACAATCACCGAAAAGACACTATAATTGCTATAGAAACACCACATAAAAGACACTACACAAGCCAAAGCGATACTACACAAGCCGAAGAGACACTACAATCATCATAATTACTATACAATCACTATAGAGACATCATACAAACCGTAAAGACACTATAATCACCATAGAGACACTATACAATTGCCATATAGATACTACACAAGCTATAGAGATATTATAATCGCCAAAGAGACACCACACAATCGCTAAAGAGACACCACACAATTGCCAAAGAGACACCACACAATCATTAAAGAAACACTACACAATCACTGAAGAGACACCATAATCGCCATAAAGACACCACACAATCGCTGAAGAGACACCATACAATTATCGAAAAGACACTACACAATCATCGTAGAGACACCACAATCGTCATAGCACCACACAATCGCCATAGAGATATATAAACACTGTAAAGACACTGTAGAAAAACTAGAAAAAAGAAGTTAGTAATTAGTAAAAAAAAAAGTGAAAAAAAAATAAAATGAAAAAAAAAAGAAACTAATAAAGAAAAAAACAACTAAAAAAAAAAAAAAAAAAAAAAAAAAAAAAAAACAAAAGAAAAAAAAAAAAAAAAAAAAAAAAAAAAAAAAAAAAAAAAAAAAAAAAATTATTAATGAAGAATTAATACACCAATACTACAACTAAACACTTTTATACAATTTATTCATATTCTTGTTTATACAGAAAACCAGACCAATTATATACCCATCTGAATACTTATCCACCAGTTGATCAAGCAAAAAAAATACAGTACAATACCTGGTTTATTTACTGAGTTAAATATAGTATATTAGAATTCTGAAATATATACTAAGAGGTAAAGTTTTACAAAAATTACTAAATATAAAAAGATTTGCAAGAAAAAAAAAATAAGCAAACTAATTACTATAAATAGAAATAATCTGCACAAAAAAGGCAAACTCTAATCTGACCTATCTATGTATATTTCAGGAAACTTTATTTTTACTATTTCAATCTAAACAAGTTTTTGACCACTCTAATAGGTTTAGATCACAGATAAATTAGTCCGGCTTTTACTTTTGCAATGTAATTTTATTTATATTTGTACTAGTACAAATTGTAGTAACTATTTAGATAGTTATTATTTTCAAATAAAATTATTAATAAGGATACAAGCAAGGCTTTACCTTAATACCAAAAAAAAAGTAAATATACTTACTGTTTTTTTTTAATATTTAACCAATAATTTGCATACATGTTTTACTAAAGATCATTTTTTTCTTTTCAAATATTGGTAAAGTGCAAAAAAACACACCCTCAAAATTTTAAAGTTCTTATTAAAATAGATCAATTCTTATTGTTAATCAATCTTAGCAATAGCAATAATATTTTAATGATTAAAGCTATAGAAATTTTGTGAATTACAGTTTCACAAAACACAAGTGATTTTAAAGAACAAGCCTATAAGTGTGGAATACCAATCCATTTCTATTTTACTTGTTGAAAATATACTAGAAAGCTCGAAATATTTGTTTATAGAAAATTAAGGGTTTTATTAAATTTGTTGTATACGAACGAATTAGAAATCGGTTTAGTAAAAGAATATTGTCCTATAAATCTTACTATTTACGAACATATCTCATAGGTACTATTCTAAATGTAATGTAATAGTGGTATCTTCTAAATAAATAACATATCTTATATTAAAATAATGGTCAAAACAAACTATCAAAATACAGTTATTACGTATGATACATCTTTTAACAATTAAACATGGCCTCTTTGAATAAACTCCAAAAAACATTATATATAAAGTTACTCGTCATCGTCGTCATCATCCCCTTCGTCCTCTTCAATATCCGAAACTTCAGCTCCAAGTTCAACCAATCTCTCTCTATACTTTTTGATATTTGCATCTTGATCTGCAAGACAAACAAACAAATCTTCATGTTCTTTTTCTAATTTTGCGCGTTCAGATTTTTGGGTTTCTATAGTTTGTTTCAGCGATTGTATTTCCTCTTGTAATGAAGATATTTGTTGTTCGGAAGATGATTTCTGTATATAAAAACATTTCTTAATCACTTTGTGTATATATTATTTATTTAATATAAATATTTCAAATACCTGATTTTCCAACTGTTCTGCAAGTTGTCTTATCGTTTCTTTTAGCTCAATAATTTCTTGCTCTTGAATCTGTATAACAGATTTAAAAGATGAAATCGTTGAATCATGATCGTTTTGAAAATCACTTCCTATTTAACAAATAGACATGTAATTTGTTATACATCCAATAATAATAAGCCTAAAATACAAACTGTTAAAGCCATACTCACCTCCAGATGTTAATTTAGGATCACCTATGATAGATTTTTGAATTTTTTCTGAAAAAAAAAAAGCACTGAGCATTTCCATATATAGAATCTATTTAAATATTTCAATGAAGAAATTAATAAATACAGCCTATTTCGTACCATAGTTATTTTTGAAGAATTCGACAAATGCATATTCAAAATATAATTCTGGCAACCCTCTAGCTTCTTCTTCTGGAGAAACCTATGGTGATAGAATATAAATTTAAAATTAAGATTTTAATGATCCTAATTTAAAAATATAGGATTGAATTTTACCTGCATATATTGAGGAACATGTTTAAAATGAGGTGATTCCCTTAGTCGTGTAATACGATTCATAAATTGATCAGCTCCAATACGATTGAGTAAGATTGGTTGAAGCGTTGTTCTAAAAATTTATAAATTGATAACTAATTTCAAAGATGTCAATAAATAACGCGTAAAGTTTTATATAAATGCTCTAACCTCGTAACTGGTGAATCTAATGAATGGTTAAACTCATAGCAAGTACCTAGCAAAAATGCACATAAACCTTGTACTCTTGAATCTACACCAGAAGATTGAGTTATAGGCCCAATTAGCTAATATAATAAATGATAAATTAAGGAATTTTCGATTATCCAAAAAGGAATATTGCCATTAATATTGGCAGAACTGTAAAAGCAAAAAGATACAATTTGCAAATGAGCATCTTTCGATAGAAACACTTTGACACTTTGTGGACTATCCCACAACCAAATACAGAGAACGCATAGGTATCCAATCAGGACCCTTACATCCGCATTTTGTCTTGTTGCCAATATTAAATTCCCCACAATAGAGTGCAACAAAGGAATATGATGGTCATCTGCATTATCTTCTCCAATCATAATTCCACGAGCTAATTCTTTAGATTTTTCATTATTCATAAGAATATGAGAAAAAATAATGGATGAGAACCACACTACATATGGATCCGCCTCCGAATCTTCCCATTCCAAAAGAGCTGAGAGTAATAATGAACCAGCTGATTGAGGTTTAGCTATAATTCGAATAATTTAAAAGCGTGAAAGTTGAATTAATGACCTGTTTTTTTTTTTTTTTTTTAGAGACTTCCGACAAACTCTTTAAGTTTATATATTTCAACCTGTATTCATATTTGAATTAGGATTATCATCAGGGGGAGGAGTCAATGTAGATGCCAATGCAACTTGTGCATTAGGATTATTATATGTGTAACACTGTATTTTGAATAGATATATTTATGTGAATATCACGTTAATAAATGAACAGAAAACCATTTTAAATAATTGTTACCTCAAAAGCATATGTAGCTGCAGCTCGAGTGGTATAACTTTCTATATGTTCAGCCCCAACAGCAACGGCAATAATTGCCATGACTGTAGGACGTGGAGGAAGAGTTGAAATTTGCTCTAGATTACTTTTCGAATGAGAGTCAGGTGCTGAATCCTGTGTGGAATTCGGACGTTGGGGTGAATAGGGAACTGAAACAACTGTCCGTGCCAAAAATTCTTGATTAGAACTGTTTCCACGTATAAGATCTGCCAAAGCGTATAGAGACTATTGAATATTGGTTATTGGACTGATTAATAAGCCTGCTAATATGGCTCAGGCTTAAAATTTAAATGAAAAGAATGTAAAAAATAGTAATAACGTACATGGGCTTTTACTGACGAAGGAGCATTCGAAGATAAGGCAAGTTCAACTACCGTTTTCAATACCCCACATTGAGCCATAACATTCTGAAAATTAGTGGATATTTATAATCAGTAAATAAAAGTGATATAAAATAATATTGCAATAATTACCTGATTAGTTAACGTATTAATATTATTAGGTACTACTAATATCCGAATCAATTCTAATAGAACAATAGTGTTGGTAACTTTTTGTTCCTGCCATTCTTGAACTAAAAACTCAACTTCATAATTTTTGTGTTTATAATCTTGGGAGTAGCCTAATAATGCTGGTATACGTTGTATACAACTTGTTTCACGAAAAAAATTCTATGTAACATTAAGATAAAGAATTAAATAATCATCTATAGAGGCCATTAAAAAATAAAAGATCACAACATACCTGATTTGAAACATTATACCTTAGCAAGTTATGTATTAATTGCATACAATCTTGAACAATAATTCCACCACTTAAGCCATCTTCTTCTGCAATTATTTCTAAAAGCCTTTCAAATGCGTTCTCGAATGCGACAATTTTTTGAATATCGGCATTATTTTCAGTAAGGGCAATAAGTAAAAGCAAATTTTCTAAGATTCAAAAATTTTCACAATTATTTCATGATCGCAATCATTAAGACAAAAAATAAATAGATGAATAAAAATAACTACCATTTCTAATAATTTCCCTTCGATCATCTAACAAATCCATCAAGCGTGAAATGCCCATTGGTGCAGTTAATATGCAATCTTGCACACGATCTGGTCTAATAGACAATAAAGTTCCCAATAACTGAATATTGTGAAAACGAACATAAAAATCATATTCTTGCAAAATATCCAAGAGTAAATTTATATTAGCAGAATCCTATGAACATTAAAAAAAGAATCTTAATTTATGTCAAAAATTATTTTTCATAAAGAATATTGACTTACATGTACAATTTCATCAGTGAATTTAACACCCAGATCAGCAGCAGGATCCTAAGTTTAAGATAATTAGCGCTAAAAAAATTTTTTTTTTTTTTGAAAAAAAAAAAAACATATATACACACCTGCTGCCCATCTGGAGTGCACAAAATATTTAGAACTTCGAGAATCGCCTTTGTCGTGTCTATATCTGCCCGATCCTCGTTTAGGACATGTAAAAGAGCGCCGAGACCCTTTTCGCCGACTTCCTATTAGAATCGCAGTGGCAATTTAAAAAAAACATAAATTACAATTCATTACGCTATAAAATTCATAATATCTTACGAGTCGATATTCTCGGGAAAGTCCTTTTAAGCCCAAAATTGCAGAAGAAGATGGCTTAAGTGGTGGAATTATTGTTCAAGATTGTATGCAATTAATACATAACTTGC